CCACACCTCCACTCATATTGAGTCTGCTTCTGTATGCATTTAATCTCTCTGTGCTTTGATAACTGTCACAGTATTACATTTGGCCTTATGTTCTGTTCACTCATTTATTCAGTAATAATAAAAATAATGCACAAGAGCTCTGAAAAACATTGTGAGGAAAACAGTCCAACAACAATAATTAAGTGTATCATTTTAGAATCACACTTCTGTCTATATTTAAATGTAAGTAAGGACCTTAAACTGCTTCTGATTTACTGACTGATAATCTGTCTTTGATTAGACATTATGGGGACAGTCTTCTTAACATGTGAAATGTATGTGTGTAACCTCTGGGTTCCTTAAGACACACTTGTAAGTAAACAGGACCCAGTGACCTCACTGGCAGGAAGGCCATGTCTGATCATCAAAGGCTCCTCTGCCCAGCCAGCTTGGCTCTGCAGGGGCAGGGGGACGACGGGTCAAGCAGGCCACTGTAAAAACAATAGCCCCGTATATCCTTTACACGACTGGTTAGCATCAAAGGCTGCCAAGACGCTTAAATGCCCAACAAATCAAGAGTGCAGTCTTTATTTTTAACTGCTTGGGAAGTGAAATGTTTTTGCTGTTAAATTTATTAGTATAGCATGGGCTATCAGCAGGATGGAATAATACCAATTAATTTGTCAGCTTTCTCTTTGTTATTAAATTAACTCATCTGCTGTTTATGGTGCCTTGGCTCAGAGCAGGGCTTTTGTTTGTTGTGTGACACTCCTCCTCTTTCAGCCTAACTGAACCTGTCTGGTTTTGTGTCTTCAGCTGGACACCGAAAAGCTAGAGAAGATCCCTATCCTGAAGACGCTGCGTGCTCTGGAAGAACAGGCTGGAAAGGATGTAACGCTCGGGGCGGCGCCTCCTGCAGCAGAACCCGGTCTGCTGACCGGTCAACCTAAAAGGCAAACCAGACGGAGGCCAAGGAGGAACACGCAGCAGGACGCTGAGGGAGATTTTAAACAGGAGAAAAGAGCCGAGTCTGAACAGAAAGCCAGACAGCACCCAGCTAGAGTGAGAAAAGAAAGCAGAGGAGACGGTGGGGGTGGTAAACAGGGAGAAATCGTCGAGAGAGGAAAGGGAAGAAGTGGAGGGAATGTCAAGGAGAAGGGCCCCGAGGAGGTTGGAAGTGAAGTCGTGTCTCAGCGTAAGCTCCCTCTTAGTGTGACCACAGTTTATCTGGGGGGAATCCCTGCTGGACTGCGTGTTAGTGAGCTGAAAACTGCTCTCAGAGAGAGGGAGGCTGCCCCACTGAGGCTCACCTGGCAGGGAGCTCAACACAGGGCCTTCCTGGACTACAGTGACCCTGAGGCTGCAGAGCAGGCCCTGGAGGCTCTGCAGGGTCTCAGTCTGAATGGTCACAGTCTGCAGGCTGAGCTGGCCAAGAGCCAGCGGGGAGGCAAGAGGTCCGGGCAGTCCAATCGGAGACCAAGACCATCAACAGCTCCGAAATCTAAATCTGCACCACCAGATACTGAGAGTGATACCAATGAAATGACTGAGCAGTAATAACAATAGGCAATACGCAGCCCAACAAGTATTTATTGTGGAGCTACGTTAAATGCCTTAAGAGTAGTTTCTTTGTAATATTTCTGGATTTATTACAAGTTGACCTCACTTATATGAACCATCTGAAGTAACTGCTAAGGCTAATGCACTTCACAATATCTGATTAAAATATGCAACTGCTGAATCCCAGCATCATAAAGCATTGCATTAGAAAAGTATTTTGTTCATACCAGTTCACTATATTAACAATACATCTATGTGCCTTGTTTATTCACACACCCCTCCTGGTCTGGGTGCCCAGAGCCTTCATTTCTTGAAGGTGCTTTTTTGGGTAATTGTTAGAGTTAGTTATTTCCCTTTCTAACCATAGACCCTACAATCTTTTGTTAAAATACACATTTTATTTCCACAACCAACAGCAATTACCTCCTCTAAGAAGGTCATATTTTCACACCTATTTGTCTTCTTGTTGGTTATTTCTAAAACTATTAACTAAGGCCATGGGCTTAAGAAGTAGTTTTTGTTGCGGATAGCGCCGCTTTGTGGTCGTCATTCACCTCATACAGTCCTTATGATTCCTGGCCCATTAAGCCTAGTATTAAAATTGGCCTAACATTTTATTTATCCATATAAGCCCCACCCATTTCTGACCACACATATCTTCCACCATTTTGAATTGTTTTGCAAAATACACCTTTCACTACTAATTTCACATACATTTTATCCAATCTTCACAAATTCTGCACCATTTGAATGACCCTAGAAACATTTTTTTCCCACATCTTATTGCCAAATTGTGAAAAAGTTGAGGCCCATTTGACATAAATTGCCATTATTCTTGATTATATTGTTTAGTTTCATCCAAATTTAGAAGACGTGAACATATTAGCAAATTGTTATGCAATTTTGATTACAGACTGCAGCAATAAGATGCATTAGTCATGATTGAGAATTTCAACTCATCCTTGCACATAGGGTGTAGGCATTCTCTAAAAATTAACATGATTGGCTCAGTGTACTTTGACAAAGATCTGGATCTACATGCAGATTATAAACCTGTAAACCTACTTTATTTAATGATGTTAGTTAGTGCAGCCTTGTTGGAGTTACGCTTTTTGATTTCTGCTTGTTTACTGTACTTTGTACTTAAGTTTTTTTTTATCAGAATATTTTGGAAATAGACATTTAAACAGATATTAGAACCATTTATTAATATTGATATATTCATGGCATATTGTCTGGCTAGGTCAGTTTGAGAATGAAGCCATTCTCACATTTAAGATATGCTACCATGAACTGTTCTAGTGTTAATGCATCTGTTTGTAACACATTCTCTACTAAAGCGTCTGGCTGTACTTGCCGTCTTGGTGTCTTTTGTTTTTAACAACACTGTGCAGACTCTTACTGTTTTTGAGAAATATGTGAAGGATGATGCGTCTTCACATCATTTTCTGCTTTTAAAAATGATGATTGCATCTTTTGGGCATTAGACTGCAAACTTTGAAAACACCCAACTCCTACGTTGTTGATGTCCAGTTGTAACAAGTCCAGTGTGTTACCCCTCAAACAATCCTTACAAATAACACAGATTCTACTTCTGAATAGTCAGTAATTAACGGGGAAAAGTTAAACTTATGCATGATATCTTAGAACACTGATCGGATTTTGGCAAAATTCAGAGAGCTGATGGATCTCACAAATAAAAAGCCAGTGTTTAACTGGTCAACCTTTTAAACTTTAAATTAATTTATCTGTTACATTAATGAATTAGAGCAAATTTGGAATATGCATCCAGCTATTGTTCTCTTGATTGGTAACGCACATCATTTAGAGTGACCATTGTTTCCTTGTTTTGAAAAATGTAGTAGCCCAGGTTGGCTGTCAAACAGAACAAGAGATGAACTCAAACTAAAATATATACTAAGAGGATCATACGCACACAAGCCACTCATCCAGACTTAAGCACCCATTAACCTGCATCTTGTTTTCTGTAATGTCATAATTGTATCAATCTGTGTTTCTGCACAGAAGTTACCTGGTAACTGATCACTCTCCTGTCAGTCTGCACTGCAAGTGTCCTGTTTTAACTGATTGTATTGAGACACAAGCACATAGCATGTCTGTCTGCACAGAGCAGACCTCAGGCTTTTTATGGCGCTGTCATCCAGGCCTGGCAAAGGGAACAGCTGTGGAGCCCAATCTCACTCCCTCAGCCCCGCCAGAGCACTGAACCTCGGCAAATGTCATCAGTTTGTTAATGTCCTGTTCCAATTCTGTTGAGCCTGTTACCCTTGTGCTCCATGGTATGCTCATTTTACTGGGGTTCAGTCAGTGGTCATGTTGTGAGATTTCAAAGCTACACAAGTATTAAAACACAGCAGGTTGCAGCATCAAGTACAGATATGTACGCGCCTTAACAGCATTACTTACAGAATAAAAGTAACAATAAGACCTCTAAATTACAGTTTAGTTACTTTGTCTAATCTGACTGAGTGAACTATGTGAATGCTCACAAAATAGATTTCTGCCCACCATATTTTTCTACATTAAGAGCACCTGATATTAATTTTAACACCACAGAGAAACTGAAACTAAGAGAACCTAAAATCCAAGATGCCTTCACTTTTGCATTTTTCTCATCCAATTAATATTACTTGCAAGAGCCTTAAAATGCAGCCTTCTCATGTAACTAAGTTATAAATAATAAGGAATACAATGAAGATTATTTAGGATTGGTTCATGTGTCTTTTGTAATATTCTGTTATATAACTAGTGGCTATGTTTTTCCATGGTGTGATAAGACATATATTATTTTTGTGTGCTCAGTTGTTGATGTTCAGTTGCATTTTATTCCCATCTCTCTGCTTTCCATTTTGATGTCTCTGTAATATTTAAAAACAAGGGTGTTTTTAAGAGGAGAAATAAATATTTCACCTGCACATAATCCCTTTTTATACTTTATGTAAAAACCCATTGAATATTTTTTTCTCTTTAGATATTGATAGTCCATCCATCCATCGTCAACCGCTTATCCTGCGTACAGGGTCGGGGGATATTGTAAGTCTGGGATGTTTATTTTCTTAAAGCCAATATTTTTTTGTGTGTGTAGATTGTTAGAAATGTATTCCTCTTGGGCAACCCTGAGCTATTCACCAGATCAACCCTTTGGACAAAATGCTTTAGAGGAAAACAGCTGTAGGCCTACCAGAGCCATGCTGCAGGTTTTCATCCTGTAACCAAACGTGGGTGAGATCTCTGCCTCTGATTTGTTACGCCTTTAATTGCTGAGCCCACTGTCGTTATGTAGAGGGCATAATACCAATGACTTTTTAAAAACATTTGTTTTAAATCTTTAATCAATTAATCCTTGTTTTATGGGAAATCAGATTTGTTCATTTAATGTTAGTTTACAATAACAGACATGACCTGCTCCAAAACAGACTGCTATGCTGGTTAAACTGTCAGACTTTGGCCTCAATCATTTATTGCATTGTAACAAGACACCACTGTGATATTCAGCATATTTCTGTGGTGTGGACCTTACATCGTTTTACATTTTCGCCTTCAGTATCACGAAATGTTTACTAAATTAAAACCATATGCACTCAGTTTACCCTCATTTTTAGTTTGGTTTAATTAATCAATTGCAAGTCTAACGTCTACATGTATATATGAATCCTGTCGAATTACGATAAATGTTGTGATGTTTCTGTTTTTGGGGGGAAAAAAAGAAATGACCCATCAGCTTGACCTGAGATCTACAGACATTAACATAGTGGGACATTCATTTGCAGTGTCCGGAAACATTTCCCGTGAATTGTGGTTGTGTGATGAAATCGAAATAAGCCTATGTATTTTGTGGATTTAGGCTTAAACAGCCCAACAGATATATTTTATTTCTTACAAAGGGTTTGCTGTAATATAGCCTAAAGATTAGCCCTCATTGATGGACCCTTGCTAATATTCCTAACAATATATAAGTATACAGTGCTGAAAGTAATGGTCTACATATATCTAACACAAACGACATAACAGTGCTTACAATATATCCTCAATTTTCATTTTAAAACAAATAACAAGCGTCCTGACAAATATTGCCAATAAAGCATATACCTCCTTGGCCAATTCGCCTGAAATTAAAATATGTAGGCCTACAGAATAAATAAAAAGTTGCGCTTATAGGCTATTCAAAAAGTGCCTTCATCATTTTTATACAGTATACATGGACATGTCCTATATGTGATGCCCGTAATCGTTCATTTCAAAATTCAACGCTGGTATGAAAGTCCCCAAAAAAGAGCCTCGGTCTAATTTGTCAAAGAAAAGTAAAACGTTCAGACGGAGAAAATGGACGTGTGCATTTTTACATTGGCCTACTTTAACAAGAAGATTAAACATTAACAAAAGTATGAAGTGGTAGTCATCCGCTCTGCAGGACTAAGTACCAAACAGCAGCAGGGTTTCATACAGCCAGTCTTTACCCCGCTGGCCGATGTTGATGGCATGAAAAAGTTTTTATTATTATATATTATTATTATTATTATTATGTGGTTGTTTTGTGATTGGCCTGTCTCCGTGTCTTTGTCGCTGTGTAGAAAAGTACAGAAAAGTAGTCCGGTCTGCTTGAAGCAGGGCGCACTCTCCGGGGCCGGGGCAGGCCTCTCTGTCTCGCAGTGGTTATTTTACTCGTTTGTTCTCGTTTCTGTTCACTCTGCTACATGGCTCAAGTCTGTGACGCCGTCCTCTGGTCTGCAGATTGTCCGTGGAGGCATCACATGACACAGGGCTTGATGTCCTGGTAGGCGACCTGTTGGTGGTGGTAGTAAGAGCCGCTGCTCGGTGAATGCATCGCCGAGGACGTCATGGCGTTGAACGAGAAGACGAACTCCTTTCGGTCACACATGCTTGGAGACTGGGAATGGTACCGAGGAATACCTGTGAAGAGGTAGTTTAAAATATATATTAAGTATACATGGTCTACAAAACTATGTAAACCTCATTGTAGGCCAACTGACGGAGGTTTAATGAGACTTTGACAATCCTGAGAAAGCTGTTTGAAGCTCTGAATAAAATATCTAAGAATAATAGAATTATTATAACATTTAGATAAATACTTGTGTACGTATTAAGTGGTTGTCATTCTTTTGTCAAGCGGTTGTCAGTCCTCTAAGAGCAGTCTTAGCCTTGAATTTGATATTGTGGATCTAGTAGTAGTCATAAAAGACGTCTTAACATAATAATAATAATAATAATAATAATAATAATAATATAATAATATATTCATATATTCATATTTGTCGTGGTAACTTGAAACAGACATGTTAAATTAAACTCTTTTTTCAACACCTGTTTTATGGTATTTTTTGTTAAAGGAAGCTCTACTATATCTTCATCCTTTTTTAAGATAAATTCAGTATTTCATTTGTAGAGGCCGGATGTAGAGCTTTCCTCTACATATGTATATTCCGCACGGACCCGAAGTCCATTTAGCAAGCAAGATTAAGATTGTCAAAGGGGGAGGCGGGCTCGCAGGGCTAATTGACAGTGGCCCTCTTGCACGCCAGTCCCGGAGGACTCAGGGCCTCGGGGCTAGGCAGGCTGGCCCTAACCGCGCTTGTTTTTCTTGCCCGGAGATTGGCACGGCTGTAAAGTTTTCTAGATAGGCTCTCCCTGTCCTCTCGTGCCTATTTTTCTAACCACTTCCAGAAACTGAAAACGTGCGAGTTTGAACCCCCCTGATATCTGGGTTTTATTTTGGAGTTCTGTTTGCTACTCTATTTAAGTGGGTGCATGACAATGACGAAGCTTAATTTTCGTGGGAGAAAATACGTGGTTTCTTTAAGTTGCATCATTTCCCTCAATGGCCTTGATGTCTTTTGTAACCTACACTATATATAAGCAAGTGTTTAAGGACAGAAAAAAAAATAAAAATACATGCACACTCAAATGAGGTATGTCAGGCTGCGCTATATTTCCATTAGGACCACGTTTGGCATAAGACCATACAAATACTTGAACAAATACTTTACCCTTAACTACAAATATAATTTAGCCCATAAATGGTTTGGTGTTTAATATTCCTGGATCACATTTCTTTCCATGATTTCACTTTGTCTATAGGTTTTCTTCATAAATTCCAGTTTTAGACAACATGTTACAGTTTTCGTTTAAGTAGGTCTAGGTACCTATAGGTGAAATAGTACAATCGAGCTTAGCCTACCTTGTAAATCTGTAGTGCTGTGCCCGTTCTGGTGCAGATAAGGTTGGTCTAGTGAATGTGTGGGCAAGCTCGGTTGCAGCGGGTTGGCACCTGGATTACATGGAGACAGAGGCTGCTGCTTTATGTAGGAGGCCCCGTTATTCAGCGAGCCCGAGGGGGCCGGAGCCCACGCCGAGGCTGAGCTCGAGTACACTGGGTGAGGCTCCATGACTCCTCCGCTGGTGAGCAGGGGGGATGCGGAATTGTCGTGATGGGGATAATCACTGCCAGTGGATCCTGTACAACTTCCCATGTAGGAATGTCCACTGTTGGCCGACAAGTGTGACATGGTGTGCCCGGACAGACCCATCCCGTCCATGTTACCTGCCAAGTGTCCATTCATCATCCCAATCCCACTGTCCAGAGACAAGCTGTTGGGCGGACAGGACAGGCCCCCGCCGCTCCCCTGGAAGTTGTAGGACTCGGGGATGTGGTTGAATCCCAGGCCGTTCATCATGCTGTACATGGGCTTCAGCGCCTGGCACTTGCGCCTAAAACCCCTGGGTCTCCTTCTGAAGGAGCCTTCCTCGAACATAAACTCGCTAGCTGGGTCGATAGTCCAGTAGTGGCCCTTGCCAGGCCGACCGAGGCCTTTGGGCAGCTTAATGAAGCACTCGTTCAGGGACAAGTTGTGACGCACGGAGTTCTTCCATCCCTGGTAGGAGCCCCTGAAAAACGGGAAGCGGCTCTGCAAGAATTGGTATATTTCACTGAGAGTCAGGCGCTTCGTTGGTGAGCTCTGGATAGCCATCACTATTAAAGCTATGTATGAATATGGAGGTTTCTCAGGTCTGCGGATCCCTGCGTTTGTCTTTTTGGTTTTCGTAGTGGAGGAGGCGGTTTCCATCACCCCCGTCTGTCCGTGCGGCTTCTCCGGAGCAGACATCGGGCTGCTCTGGGCAGGAGTCTGCGCTGGGGGCTGCTGGACCTCTGCCGTCATTAGTTAAATGTAGTCTTCGAGATGGCAAACGGAAATTGATGCTTTCCACCTTTCCACCAATAATCACTACAAAGTCGGAAACTAATTCGCTGACATAAAGAGCCAAAAAGAAAAGATCAGTGGGCAAACTTAACGCAAAAGCCAGAGGCGAGACGGTCTTCTTAACTCTGACTTCTTCCTTTTGAGTCTGTCCTGCAGCAGTCTGAAGCCGTACCGCCTTGTACTCAGCGTCCGAAATGGGATAAGGAGCAGAACAGGAGCCGCTTTCCACTTCAGTTGGTGTGTTGTCGTGCGTCCGAGGAGCTCACTTTTTACTTATCTGTTGCCATCAGCGCATTGGAAGCTGGATGTCTTGGCCATCCTAATGTTGGGACCCGCCCAGTTCCCTCCTACTCCAGTGGTGGGCTGCAAGCAAGCACATCTGTGTGCGTTCACTTTCCAGGGACATGTTTTTCCCCCTTCCTTACATTGAAATAGGGAATATATCTCCCATATAGCCTTTAATAACCTTTATAGTACTATATACCATAGAATGGAAAAACATTTAATTGGATTATAATATACTGCACCATCACACACTGATAGAAAGTATATTGGCTGGGGCCTTTAGATACAGATTTTGATTGCCTTGCTTTCTAATATGACTTTATTTTATTTTTATTCTTATTTTCAACTCGAAATATTGTGATATAAACAGTGTGGAATCACAAGCCTGCAGTGCAAATAGGATCTCCATATCAGGCTACATGGTTGATGCACCAGCACGGCAAATAGATCACGTTTCTCCATTATTATTAAACTTGAAATAATATATGAAACATTTTTAGTGTATGAAAAGCATTTAACAGCAAACATGCCCCTCATATTCAAAACCACCCTCCTGATTTCTGTAAAAGATAGACAGGAACATGGGCAGGATGTTTATACAGCAAAATGTAAACATTTTCCCTGGCCTTCTTTAAATAAAAAATCAAGCTAAAGCCCCGTTAGATCAGTTAATACTCAATCTGATGCGTTATGCCCGTCTGTTCGCAGCATCTTGTGTAGATGTTGGACGTTTTTACACATGAATATTGTTTGTGTAATGCAGTCATAATATTTACGCAGAGACGCAGGAGGAGCGAGATGGAGGTTCCGCCGAACTGTGAGCGCAGAAACTCGGACGGGGACTTGAGCTCGACTCCCGCAGGCAGTTTACCATCGAATGATCCAGGAATGAAGGTAAAGTGGATTTAACACTTTTCAGTGAGAGCATCCCCAGCAGAACTGTGGCCGCTTTAATTTAGTGCCACAACAGAAACCATGGGGTGTTTAGTTTGTTTTATATGCATACTATCTTATAGGATAATTTATAAACGAAGTCTAAATTATCCCTTAAGCTCCACAGAATGTTTTGGCTCTCATTGAGTTGTAATTCGCTCAGAAGAAGATTCGCACCAGTTTGTTTATCGGTTTGTGTTTCCAAAGTCGAAAAGCTTTATTTTAGTTCGTTTTACTGCCTGCCTGGGAGAGCTACTGAAAGACGATCAGTCCATAACCTAAAACTGTTGACAGTAGGTTGCTTATTGTTCCCTGGAGATCTCGATAGCTGCAGCCCGCAACCTTTCGCCTCTCCGTGGGTTCAGTTAGTTGAGCGTGTTGTGGCTCTGATCTCTGCCGGCGTAACTGTTTCTAGTGGATACCTGCTGATGCCTGCTGGTTTTGACACAATGGAAAATAACTCAGGAGAATATAGTGGCTGAACATTTTTGCAATTTTTGCCTCTGCATAAAACCATGAAAATGTTTGGAGACGTTGTTGGCCGTGAGTGAAGACCACGAGCAGCTCTTATAGGCTAATATATTTGTGTTAAATAATGCGGCAGAATGTTTGTTAGTTCAATTTTAGGAAGCATATTTAAATTAAATTCCGATACATAAGTGCAATTTTAAATGGTTTATTGATGTTTACCGGAACTGTCCAGCCCCAAAACAGGAACAGCTGCCTTTTTTGTTTGTTTGTAGGTTTCAGGCGGTTTGCCACAGGGAAAGCGATATAACAATTCATTGGCAAATTTTCATTGTCAACCCAAAGGTGACAGACGTGCCACTGTTAGTTTTTGCTGTTGCAGGGGAGATTTAAATCCGTAGATAAATGAATGTAAGTATTGTTTTAACCGGTGCCTGCTCGGCCACTCGCCTGGAGTGAGGGACACAAATTTATCAGCATAGCAGACCACCCAGCGCGCACCAGGGGTAGGCGCGCTCCCGTCCTCTCTCTGCCCACTGCATTTAATTACCACTGATGACTTCATTCCATTAGGGCGCTTTTTTCCCCCTCACACGCTCATTCGCCCCATGTCGTGTTATTCTTTCTTTGTCATATATAGGCCTATTTATAGACTATTTTGAAACTTAGCCATCCAAAGCCAGTGTCCGTGGTTAAATGTTTACGCAAACCATCAGTGTTGGATGCTGATGCGCTACTCCCCACTGCATTCTTCTTTCACCAGTAAAAAGCTCCCAAATCAGTTGTCTTTTGATAGGCTAACCTAAGGTTAGTGCAGTAATCAATCGGAAATAACAAGGATCCTGATCTTAATATCATAATATTATTGCATCATAAAAAATAATTTCAATCCAGAATTTCAGATCACGTCGCTCGTTCAGAGGTCACAGTTGCTGCAACAGTGTCGGTGGCAGATTATGTTCGTCACTACAGAGGTTCGAGTCCCGAGGTCAGAGCTTCCCTGTTGCTCTATCGCAGACGAAGTCATGCACTTTTCCATGACGTCCCATCATGAAATATTTGACAGCGCTGCATCCTCAGGAATGCTCGGCCACTTAGGTGGAGGTACACCGCAGAGTGTACAGTCCTGACAGGCTTTCCGGGCCGTTATTTAGTGTATTGAGACCAATGTCTGACCCATTAAAATTGCGATGTTGTAACGTTCTGCATAATGTACTTTTCTAATTGGTTACATTTTCATTCAGTCAGCTTAAACACTGGCACAGTGGAACACTAAATTAAAAGGCCGAGAAGATATTTTAGGCTTTTTTCTCGTAATCTCAAAATGATTGTCTATTTCGATAATAACTGCTAGGCCCTAAATTCAGTGTTGTCTTGTGCCGCTTAGCCTATTTGAGGATTTGTTTCATTGGGCTTTATTATACAGGCTGAGGTCTCCTCACAAGGTTACATTGTGTCACATCATCTGAGCAAGTCAGGACATGGATAACTTCAAAGGTATTGCTTATTCATACCAATTAGGCAAATACACCAGGCGGATTATAGATCCAACATCTGCAGCGCTCAGCAGTATAATTTGATTTGGCCTTTGATTTGACAGAAACAGATGAAACTGTTGGGGAGATCACGTCTGATATAAAGTCACTAAGAAAATGTTTAAGCATTACATTTATTTATTACATCTTCGAGAAATAAACCAGTTTCCCTCCTCTGCATGGAAAGAGGGCCGCAGAGGGTCACCGAGAGGCCGCAGGGACTTTGTTTGGAGGACAGTGCGACGGAGTGATTGATCAACTGGCCGTAAATTCATCCGCCTTGAACTTGAATCAGGTTTTGAAGCAATATTTATATATGGCAATCACACAGTCTAATGAACTTTCTTAAGTTTGACGTTTATCTTCTTTAAACTTTCACGCGTTTGATGTCGTCTCATTTATAATATGGAGAGAAAAGGTCAAATGTTGTTTTTTTTCATTAATATTATATGCAATAAATACATAGATCGGTACATTTTAAAAACCCCATAAAGACTTAAAAGTTGATATTCAGTGACAGCGGATTTTTACAAAGGGTCAGCAGTCAGAGGGTCTGCAGTTTGATAGCAGAATATATGTTTTTTGATAATAATAGATTTCCCGGATTTATTTCTCTGATTTTATTTTCTCGTGTGATGTTGGACTTTACGTGTGAAAGACAATGCAAATAATGCAACTCCGAGATGCACAGACAACTGGCAAACTTGTTTTGCGCGGAAATATTTGTGCGTGCGCTTTTTAGAAAATAAACCAGTACTGGTGGTTTATCTCTTCTTTATATCACAAGATCTCTGAAATAAACACATTTTATAATTTTTTTTCAATCTTGTATTGATTTACATTAATTGCCCAAATTAAAATTTCTATGATGAAACAATTAATCTTGTGAAATAATTTTGATTACAAATCTATGTGTAGGCCTACACAAGATGTTCCACTGTCTTCACTGACGTTTTTTTTTGTCCAACAAATAGTTTTAAGATGCACCCTAATTGGTTTTCTGTCTCTTTGTCGCTGCAATGTCGCCTGTAGTTCACTCAGTGTTGTCGCTTTAATTGAAAACAGTGTAATGTAGAGGTGGGTACCCCCTCATCACTTTCCCTGCGCTGTAGGTGGCCGTGTATATTTTCGTTTAAGTGGTGTTTATGTGAACGAGAAAGGACGGGATTGCTAGCAGACCGCTGATTGCGCGCATTGGGTCTCTACATGGATTTGAAGTGTATTTGATGGGCACCACCCTCTCCAGTAATCAGCTGCAGCAGAAGAGCGCTCGATGACTTTTTAATTTTCTTGGCAAGATATCTGCTGCGCGCCCTGTTATGTGTCTGTGAAGGCGCAGAGGAAAGTAGTCCCCCTGGCACAGCATCCCTCACAGAATGGGTTGATTCATTGAATGTGTGCGCTAATGTCACTTTTCACAGCGATGTCCACGCTCGAAACAGGCCTATTGGAACTCAATGAAACTAGTTCGCAAACACCCGCCCTGCTGAAGTGTCCCTGAGCATGACACCAAGCCCAGGTCAGCTATATGGGCATTGCGGACCCTGCTGTCTGACTCAATAGAGTTTTAAAAGCGGTAAAACGACACATCAGTTCATATTTTCAGCTCGTGCGCCCTATTGAGTGTGTTAAAAGTCTCATGGGAATATGCGTTTATTAATCTGATATCACATTTAATTCAGTGCTGTTATCTTTCATCGCATTTCACTTGTTTAAAAAGGCTTGTCGGTTCTTCAAGCGGAGGCTAATCGTGGATGCGCCTTTGTAATTTAGATATGGACTACTAGATTCGATCAAGTTTAATAACGGACTGTTGATAAGAATCTAGCTTTCCATTAATATTTTCTCCCTAAAAATATTTCGACTGGGATTTACACACCTTTGGAATTTTCCACGTTATCACTAGGCCTCGATGTTTATTCTTTAATACCTCTTTATACATTGCAGTGCATAGACTCTTTTGAAATTATAATGGTTAGAGTAATAAGTAAATAGTTGGCCGGAGTTCCTGTTGTTATTTCTCATTGGTTGGTAAATTGCACGTGTCACATGTTACACACCGACATACGCCCACTTGTCTGTCTTCCACTGCACACCTGCTGCAGCGGCCACGCAATTATCAGCTGTAAGACTTCAGCTATAATTGATAGTCGTCGATTATGCTTGGATATTGCAGATCTTTAATAAAATTGAATTTATTTTTCGACATTAAACTTTGATATCAGCGATTTTAATTGAATATTGGATTCGATGTGTAGTGTGAAATTCTTCATTTAAACCAATTTCAAGCCTCATGAGGACCTACCACAACAGAGATAATAAAATGTTCACTAGAGTGCTCTGAGCTTTGGGTCATTTGACGTTTGTATCTTGGATCATGGCGCATTGAACACAAAGTAGGCCTATTTATTTACACAGCCAACGCTCTGCAAATATGGAGCTCATCATGCCAAAATACATGAGTCATTGGTGCAAACGTTATTGTGAGAACTTCGGCCTCCTCTGCAAAACTTCACATGCCTTCCCGCATCGGTCCCGTGTGTGCTATATTGTCAAATTAAAGATAGCCCACTCACATCGTCAGATTGCAAATTTTCTTATTTCAGTGTTCAGCAGTTTGTCGCATGTTAAAAGCAGCTTTGGTTCTGACAGCTGTATGTTGAAAAGAAATCGTGCCTTTCAGACAATGAAAAAAGAAAAATAATAAAGGCACATGTACAATTCTTTCTGGTTTATTGTGTGATTGCAGGCAGTACCACATAATTTGACATGAAGGACAGCAGTGGGGAGGATTTGGCAGGTCCAGAGGTTTTACAAATTCCAAACTGTCCGAATGTGGTTAGCACTTGCAGGGGAACAGTTCCATAATTTAGAATACCTGTTCATAGCGAATTGGAATTTCGGCACGTTGCTGTTTTCTGTATAAAACGAGACAAAACACCCAAAACATAAAGAAAAAAAAAACGTTAAAACAACGAAAATATGAGCATATTCTGCTTGCTTCAAGGTTAGACTTCAAGGTTAAAGCATGAAGGAAAACGTGATTGTGGGTTCAGTGTGGACTGTGCCTGCTGATAGAGGGTTTGTCTTTTACAGTTAAATGGGTGGAAGCAGATTTTTAGACTATTTAGTGTCTAATATATTTATAAAATATAGCATATCAGACCATGTCAGGGATAGAATGATAAAGTCCAACTTATTTACAGTATTGTCCCTGGTGTTTGGTCATCAAAGTTAATGACAAATAACAACTAATAAGTTGTTTTGGTTAAATTATGAACTACAAAATGTGTCATCCCCTAGAGTTTTTGGTTTTCATTGCCTTCCACTGTTGTGTTTGTGTGTGGTCTTCAAGTAAAAGTTTGGATCTATTAATTTGAAAGCAAAAGTGCATACAAATGTAATACGGACTATTTAAAATTAAACATTCTTGGGTTGCTGAATAATTACATGAGTTACTGATGTTTTAAGAGTAATTTTTACCTTACATTATTAGTTGATTTTAGAATTCCCTGATAACATGTTAAACAAATAAATCATGTTTTTTTTATTTAAGATGGATTTTTATTTTTCTAATTTATCATATTAATGGTAATTATATATTTTCTTTTGATGTATGTTAAGTTAAAGCACATGTGATTTCTGCTTGTATGACCACCCACAGTGTAACTATAGCAATCACAAAGTGGTAAATGGACTGTATACTCATATAGCACCTTTCTTGTCTTCCCACCACTATATAATATATATATATATAAATAAAATAGTGTGCATTGATTTTCAGTTCTTTATTCCCAGAAAAGTTCCAGTGAAAACACACTGACATGTTGCATGTTTTCGCCTCACAGCTCCTCTCTGCTACTGTGGCCTTTCTAGGACGATTCAGTCCCACACAGTGAGTGGGAGCTTGTTTGGTGCCCCACCCTGCAGCTCTGCACACCTCCCAGGGCCAGTCCATCATGGTCTGTCTGATGCAGGGAGAGACATCAATAATAAGAGCTGAAGCAGAAACCACAGTGAAGAACACAAAAGAGAGAGGGAGGGCAGATGCAGGCCACAACCGGGTCTGCTGCAGGTTAGCTCCTTTGATACGGCCTTGATGGCAGTTTGATGGGTGCACATGGGGAGACATGGGTTTATACGTATGTGTTTACTTGCACGTTTACATAATATCTATGGTGTTTACGCACAGCCCACCAACTCTTTTTTTTCTTCTTAACTCTGAAGGGGGATTTTCCTGTGGCAAGCTGCTTCGGAAAAAGCAATTAAGAATTCCCAAACAGTACACCACAATGGGAGATATCATTTGTGCAATGTGTGTTCCATGTCTCTCGAAGTTTTTGTCTGGAATGGGTTGGCTATTTTTAATCTGTGCACAACCGGACCCACCTACAGACAAACCACAAATTGAAAGAAGGGGAGGGGGGTGAGTGGGCATGGTAATTGCCCATTGTGGAGCTCAAACTCCTCTGTTCTGCCATAAACAGCTTTGGTAGTTCACAACTTGATACCCATTGCTCTAGTCGGTTTGAAATTACAGCATATCCTCATTGTCTGTGGGAACCCAGAGCCAGGCAGTGGTTGGAATCAGTCAGGAATGCTTTGGGATGGTAACTGGATTCAGTTGTAATGCCCAGCTCTCCACAGCGGAACACTAGGGTGGGAAAAAGGCCGAGAGCATTTCCTGAGTGGAGGGGGGTCCCAGCGAAGCATCACATGCATGGGCATCATGTGACAGTGATCCTGCCAGGTTTTAGCCTATGATCCCAAGTGAAGAGAGGAGTGGAGAGGAGTACAGCTATGGGGGAGGTGGAGTGGACGCTGTGGGCAGTGTCAGGGAAAGAATGGAGAGGACAGGGAGAGGCTAGAATGAAGACAAGAGGGGCACAAAATACTGTAGCTGTTCTAATGCAACCTGTGAAGGAAAGGCTAGTGATGAAGTGATTAAGCGGAGGGTGTAGAAAATAGAGGTGTACTGTCTGTATCTGTTTATTTCACAAAACTAACAAATTTATTGTTAGAAATGTTGCGCTATGCTGCTTCATTTTCATAAGCATATCTATATGTACAAGTTTAGCAGCTTGCAAAATATACAAAATAACAAATGTTTTAACCATATACCTGAAAAAAATGTAATAATAAAAACATGATTTTTATCAGAACCCCACCTTCAATTATTTTTAAAAGTGTAAACTGAGTCTACATAAAATCTGTGTAACTGATAATGCTCTGGGTGAAAACAGATAGAGGAAATACAACAAGAGATTTTAACAGCTTTAACAGCTGTTTTTCATTTAAAAACTAGAGGTTGTATAATGGGAGGAAGTCCAGATGAAAATAACGTTGGACTGAAGTGTCTATGATTTAAACATGTATTTTGAAAGCTATTGTCAGTTCGCATGTATGACGTCAAGTTGCACAAGATGCCAAGCTTCAATATTCAATTACCATGAGGTAAAAATAACACGTCAACATCAGTCAAGCTTTGTCCTGCATAGCACAACTACAAATCAATTTTGGATGACCCTTGGTGAATGTCTGAATGGCAAACTTAAAAGTATCTACTCCGTGTTATTACAATGTAGCCTATTTGTTTAACTTTTGGCAAATGTGCATCATGAAAAGTTACTCTGATTGGGCTAGTAACACCTTTCTATTTGCACTGTACAGATGAAAAATATGAATCTGATGATTATGATCAAATATTAGAAGTTATAAGGAGAGTATTTTTGCATGAATGTTAAATGGATTCATGTCTGTGTGTTTGCAGAGTTATGACTCTGGGAGGACAGGGTGTGATGTTTGTGACAAAGTGTGGAAAAATGAAAAAATATTTCTGCAAAAATTTGCACACTGTTTAAATCTGTCCAGAGCCCATTATCTGCTTCTATTTGTGTTCACTTATATGCCTGATAAAAAATGTATCTAATAAATTTCCTTCTGCAAAAGGATGTCGATTGCGCTTAATTGATTTAAAACACAATTTTCAACAGTCATTTCAACTGAGTAATCTGGCAAATATAACTGTGAAGAAGACTGTCTGTAACATTAACTGTAGGAGGAATCCTGTTATAAGAATGTGTATTTGTGTCCCTCCACCAATCTGTGTCTGTTTTTCTGTGCGCATGTATATCCATGGCTGCATCTTGTAACCGCGCAGTTTAAAACATCAGTAACTGTGTTTCTGCCTTTGGTTTTGCATGCCTGTAATGGTTGTCTGTGGCTGCAAGTGTTCGTGTATCAATGCATGTCAAAATGTTGCTGACAAAATATTTGTGTGTGTGTGTGTGTGTGTGTGTGTGTGTGTGTGTGTGTACAGACTTGTGCTGGCAGCCAGACATTGCTCCCTTTGGCTTGTGTAAATGTTGTGACGATCTATATATCTATAGTTGTCAAAGGGCTTTTTATTTCCACCTGCTACTGGCCTCTTTCCGTTGGTCTGCTCTATAACAATGGTACTAGGAAAGCTGTGGAGTGCAAAGTGATTGATGTTGGTCTGTATTTGGCCCTTCTTCAGATTGGGGCCTGAAAGGAAGTGGCTATCCCTCCCTTCCACCCCGACTACCCTGCAATAATAAAAAGGATCAAGAGGGCAAAGTGCTGATCAGGACTTTCTTAGACATCCCATTTTAACAAAGTGCCAATTGGCCCAAAAGACAAGTTGACAGGCGCATATAAACAAGGTTTCATGACTTATAAATCAGTTTGCCACTAGAAGGAACAGAATGAAGTTAACTTATGCCACACAACTGAGCCCAACTGTATCCCCTCCATCTGCAACCACCACCCTTTTTCTTGTCCTGTATGAAAAGAGATACAAGCTCATCACATCTACATTCTTTCCATTTTGCTGAAGAGCAGCGTGGCAGAGAAGGTAATCTATCACTCAAATGATCTGTCCTTCCCTCTCCCTGTTTCTAACTGTGTTTCTCTTTCTCCTTCCTCCAGACTGGAGTGGGCAGGCGTGCGGCTTTGGCCACAGGAAGCTGTGAATTCTTTGGAGAATGGAAGATGTCTTATAGGGAGACATACTGGCCCCCCACCCACCCACTCACCACCCCAAAATGACACCTGACCCCTTCATGTGTTTATATCAGACCATGGAAGTGAGAAATAGTGATGAGTCACTCTGGCTGTGTGTTTACACTCTGGAGTCACGCAAGGAAGGAAATCAGCCACGGTCTGCTAAAAGTGGCGAGGTGAGAGAGAATAGCTGCAGTCCCCCAGCGCCGCAGTGATTTACCTCTGAGAGTCAGAATTTATTTCACGTCATCTCGGCTACGAGGTCTTTTGACCAGCAGAAAACAGCAACATTAGCAGCACAGTAGACTGTTGATGAGGAAAAGGCAATTCTGATTGCAGCAAGGGTCACTGGCTACTTCAAGACATAAAACATACAAATTTAAATTCTGAAAATCCTATTAAACACACAGTGTTGATCACATCCGGTTGCTTTCTATTAAAGGCAGATAGAACACACATATCACAGTCTCAGAATGTAAAACCTGTATCTTCAAACTTCCCATGATTCTTCAACTAAGAAAAAACATTTTCAGTTTGATGAATGCACATTTCACTGTCAGTCATTTTGAACTGTTTTCATAAACTATTTTCCTTAGCTACAAGGAGAATATCTGATTGATAAATTTAATAAATAAAAAAATTTAAATCACCAGAACTGTTACACGGGTTTTCAATAACATATTTATGATATCATAAGCACAAGTTTCAGAATTTATTTTATTATCATTGATAAATTATATTGATAACAATATTTAAAAGCTTGAATAATTAAAATTTAATTCACAATGCAAATTTCTGGTTATGATTTCCTGCAAAAGAAAAATGTAAAAAAAAAAAAAAAGAAGTAATCAAACAATTGAAGGCCCTAACTAAACATCTACCTAAGAAATGATTATGCAGCACTTTATTATGCCAGTTTGATATTGTGTCTATCACAGGTTGCTCAGTTTAGAAACAAAGTTTACATAATCATCATAGTGGTATATGTATAATTATGATTTTACTATATTTAAGTGAAAAGCAGATTTCATGAAAGCAAGCCAGTCAGAGTCACCGCTAATGACTGCAGCGTGTGTGTTTGTGACAAAGATATACCAAATATACCAAATATACCAAATACACAAGGGCGTCATTTTGTGCTGAAAAGTGGTGGGGATATTTAAGGACTCAGATTAGGGGTGCATTAGGGGTAATACACTTAGCTTACGAGACATGACGATGCACAATAATGGGGTCATGAGAACAAGACAAGAAGATATTAAAATAAATATTCAGTGGTGCGATGTATGATTTTGGGGGTCTGGGCGTCCTCCCCCAGAAGATTTTGAGCATTTAACACTTCATTTTCTGCATTCTGGAGACATTTTCCACACTAATTTATAGTTGAATGGTTTATTTATGTAAACACAAAACACAAAATTCTTGGACAATGTACATTTGTTTCTTAGATATTTACATTGCATTACATGTTTTGTTATTGTGCAAATAAACCTTTCTCAAATAATTTCATTTGTTTTTTAACATTACTTTCAAAAAGTGGTGGAGACATGTACACAGTGTCCCCAGTGACAGACACCTATGCAAAATCATAAGTAATTTTATTGTCTTCGACTTTAATAAAAGTGGCAAGTTAGATCTCCCACTCTTATTAAAGAGGTAGACATGGTGCTTATGTCTTTACACCGTTCACTTAAACTGCGTTGATGTTACATTTGTGCACCAGTTCATATTGACAACAGGTCACTGTAGAATTTTTGGCCTCAAAAATACAATATACCGAAGAGAATTTGCTCAAATGTGTTCATGATACATGTGAATTGTGCTTGAAACACACCAGACACGTATTGCATTGCACTGCACTCGGAAGGACTGTATGTTCAATGTACTGTAAGGTGTGTTTACAGTGGCTAAGACCAGTGTTTCAAACATAGTGTCATTGTTGTCCCCCGCACTGAGCAACTTAAGATTTTGAGATTGCACAACTGTTGTTTTCAAGAGACAGCTGTAGTTACTGCAGTTGTGCTCTGTAAATACAAGTGACACTTTATTTCTTTCCATCATTACATTGGTGCAAGTAACTTTATTGCAGACTGTAGCGAGTATCCTGTTACCCACCCCCATACACACCACCACAATGAGAGAGTCAGCGGCTCTTATTTTGGCTGATCTCTCCTGAATTGTAAGTCCTGTCAGGGGCTTTGATTGATAGTTGTGTTTATCACCATATTATTAAGTAATCAGGCTTACCACAGCTGAGTCTGAAGCTCCTTAATTCCAGCTAAAGCACATGGCTACATGCTAATTAAAGGTTTGGCGAAAGTGTTTATTTTTGTGAAATTTTAAAAAATAGTTGCCTGTGTTTTTATGAGAGTGCGCTGATTGTTGCATTTGTGTCCTCTCTGGAACATTTAGTACCACCCTTTAGTGTTGCATCTTCATCAGAGAGATCACAGTTATTATAAAGGACAGTGGAGAGAAAATCATACCGCATAAGCTGCATGCATAGTGTAAACATCTTGCCTTTCAATACGTAATAATAGACTGTTTTACCTTGCTGTAAAACCTGCTAATGACAAATAAGGTACATGCAGTACAGTATCTGCATATATAACACGAGAGGGTCAATCAGTCTATGTTCTATCTGTATGAGCAGAGGTTTCCTCTCGCTTTGTTAATAGAGCCTGTGGCAGGCTGCGTTTGTGTATTCCTGAGGTAAACACAGTCATGGCAAAGTGGACATGCTGCTGAGTGTGTCCTGACTGGAGACAGAGAGCACTGTGGCACTGTACTGACTGAGGCACTGGCAGCTCTCTAGAGGTAGGGTTAATGTGATGAATGGCCATTTGGTAATGGGCCATGTATAAGGGTGAAATAGCTCTTTTAAAAGCCCAAGCTTGAGCCGTTGCCATGGGCAACTTGATTCAAGAATCAATCAGGTGACAGATGTTTCATGTTTGATCAGTCAACTCTGTCCTACTCTCCCTTTCAACCAAACGAAGGAAGAAATGCTTGAGTGACTGCATGTGGCAATGAAATGAAAATGTAAATTCAGGCAGACAAAAACATCAGCGATGCCATGTTATTTAAAAAATCTAAAAAATAAAAAAAATTAGGCCAATTTAAGGAACAGTGTGCATAAAGTGATTGATCCTTAAACAATGTGAAAAATGTGATGATGTTTTTTTTTCTTTTGTACTGTGAGCACTGTAGGTTCTCTCTTGTGTATACAGCCACCAGACTGTATGTGCTTGTTCACATCACTCCAGTTAGCGAGGATGGCGCTGTACTTATCAGTGAGTACCTGCAGTGCTAATATCTACCCATTGTTCATTCAGATTTGGGGAATTTCTATCCACTAAGTGAAATACATAATGTTGAAAGTGGACAGTTTTTTATATCCAATACAAATACGTAGGCCGATATGTTATTAAAAAGGTTTAAAGGTGTTTTATGAGGGTGTTTTGTGCAATAATTGTTCCCATATTACCTATTACAATCATACTGTATCCATTTCATTGTTATGTATTGCATGCTCTGTGTGTTTTCTTTTAATAAATACATTTTCACCTTATTCATAATGTATTTCACATTGATGTTGTGTCAATACATTCTCCTGTGGCAGTGTTGCATGTAATATTAATAATGGAATTATAATTTATTTTCCATTTTCAATGCATTAATACATTTCTACTTAACGCAAGTCAGTGGTGGTGCCTGTTCACATTTCTTTTAGTTTTATTTGAGCAAGTTTTTCTCTGTACTGTAGACTTGCTTTGATTTCCCAATTTCCCCATGCCAGTCTCATATAGCTAATCTAATAGTCAGAAATGACTATGTGAAGACACACAAACAAACAAAATTAATCTGCTTTTAAACTGGACTCGGTCAAAAACAGCTAGGGTTGTGAATAGAGTTTCTTTGAGTAAAAGTGAAGATGATGCACAGGAAGACTAAAAAGACACGGTCACAGAAGGAGGCCGGCCAAAGAACTGAATAAAGAGTTTATTTTTTATTTTAAATTGAATTTTAATTAACATTCTTCGTTCAAATTCTTTTACGTGTGAAACCACTTTGTTAGAGTTAATTTAAGCCTCAAAGTCTTGCCCTTTGCCAAAATTCAAGTAAAAAACCACTTGAGGACCTTATGATGAATTCCCTGTTTTTCTGTGGTGGTGCTGAGACTCGTATGATAAACACAGCGAGGATAAATTCAGCAATATTGAAGCTGTTGGTGGTCCTCTTGTTTACTTCAGTGTTATACAATTTCTCCAACAACCAAAGGGTTATGGATCACTGTCCACATGGTCTACCTAAATAAGTAGCTACTACTACTCAAAGATGATAATCAATAATGGCCTGAGTCTGATATATGATGGTCTTAAATGCTGGAAGCCAGTTATCTCTGTGTGACTTTGGTTTCTGCAGGGCTAAAAGTGGATTCACACTGATTTATCAGTTTTTCTGAAGAGGTCATATGAACCAGAAGAGCTCAAAAATGGTTTAAAAAATCTCCACCTAGAAATAAAGTCAGTGTGTTTATTCTGCTGTCTCTTATGGCAGAATTTGGACATTTTATTGGTTTCATCCCACAGAGATGGAAAAAAATTAAAACTGAATCAGGCAAAGCTGCCGTGGTCTTTTTGGTAAGTGGATAAACTTCATTAGAGAATGTTTTAGCAAGGGGAAAATAGTTAATCTGGCATTAACACAGGAGCCTCTGAAGCATTTATCTCAGATTTAGATAGTTGTGGATTTCACTCCTTGCTTATTATCACTTCTGAATTCTCAAGAGGGGAACTTTCAGTTGATCCCAGGAGGCCATAATTAATGTGCGGATAACCAAAGGTAGTGAAATGCCATTTCTCCTTGTCCAAAGAGTCTTATCACAGGTGTTTGTAAGGACAGACAGATGGACAGACAGACTGCCACATGGTTCCACTTTGACGTCTGCTAATTCCAGGGAATCAATCCTAAATGACACCTATGGGATACACAGAGTGGATTTCCCTCTGATGCAGATTGGTGGTGGTTTGCAGATGAAAGACAGTAAAATAAATAAAGCTGTGGTGAGCAGGCAGAGCTCTTCTGTCCGCACAGTACAACCATAATGGGATACATACTGACATGAGGGAAGAAGTGGAGGCCTGCTCCTGTTTTCACCACTGTTGCCATGGAAACACTGATGAACTACTGCTGCCATTCCTGACTATCTGAGCTGACGTTTGTTGTGAAAAATATTTCGATTTTTTTTTAAAGGGTGATAGAAAGTTACCTAACAAGTGGAATTATAGTGATTAGCAGAAGCAGCTCTGTTTCTTGTCAGCCCCTCTGCTTACTGGCCCACTGCTGCTGATACGGTTTTAATCCTTAAACACGTCATTAAATCAAACTCAGCAGTATCAAATGGCTTTTTAACCTCCTCCAATCAATCTTTTCATCAGCTGCTGTGTCTGCGGTCGGCCTAGAGTAAGAATAGTAATGGTAAGACAATACTGGCTTGTCTCATCCTGGCTGGAATTATGCATGATACTCCTACAAGTTACACTGACCTCCTATTCCCTTCTTTGCCAGCGCAAATTCATCTTTGTATTGTGCAACATTGCAAGTTTGCTGGGTAGCTGTTCCACTGTTATCTGCATTTTATTATTAAGGACGCTGGCTTAAAGTCCCACTCCACTCAAAAAAGTGTTTTGCTTTTTGCTATGTCACTTGGACCTTTGCTGTGCAGTATTCCTAAATACCTCTGCTTACCTTAAATCTCACTTTAAGACGTGTGTGCATGAGCATGATTTTGTGACATCACTACTAGTTTAGAAACCAGTTGTGGTCTAAGATGCAGCTTACACAAGCGTGTTAACCTGTGGCCTCCAGTATGCAGGATGGACTTTTCAGTGAATTCGAAGACATCTCATGTCCAGCAGTTAAACTTCAAAAAAACCCCAAACAATATTTGCAAATTCATATATTAAATGAGGGAGAAGGAGTGTATGCAATTTTACTAATTATTAACTAGTTTATGAAACTTTTTTGTGTAAAAACCCTTTCCGTCAAAATTATCAGTATATTATTATTCCAAGCAGAGTATTTTTTTTATGTCTTAAAACATGTCTAGAGGGGATCTTTGAAATGAAAAGGGACTCCTCTCTCTAAAAATGTGACTAAACAACTGGCCCGCTTATTGGCTCACATTAATTAATGCCTGTTTAGAGGTGTACTAATGCACTTAAAATGGGGGCATTATCAAGGTTTTGTCACTGGTGCCACTGAGGTGATTTATTCAGATACTGGTCGACTCCCGTCTGATGCACTTCAACAAATCACAGCCTGAGGTCTGGCTAACCCACCACCACACTCATCTCTGTCTCCCTCTCTAACCCCCACACAGCTCACTCTGACTGGGTGCAGCACCCAAAACAGATATCACCCAGGGGCTGTTTTTTTTTAAAGCTCAACTGACCATGGAGTCAAGCCATCCTGTCCTCTAGTCTCCCAGTAGCTGGGTTACGGAGCACAGTCAATTTAATGGTCACATTTTGGACAAACAAACAAAAAATATATGTATAAAATAAAATATATATGTACTGCAAGGCTGTGTAACCTGTAAACTGTAACCTGTATATTTTCAATCCTCACATGAATACTACATCTTTTGCAGTTATTTAGTATCCTCCTCAAGGAGCCAAACATATAGTTTTTCAGCAGACTCACCTCTTTATGCACAGCTGATACCTGTTTGCTGTGTAGAGCTGTGAGTTTTTGTAATGATTAAGGGTCTGTGACCACCAGCAGTGCCGTGTGACCTGGGGGCTCAGGGTGATAAGACCTCCATAACTCTACTTTATCCCCCTGCTCATTATCAACCTCAATCCCAGATCTGCTCTGAGCCCCTGGGCTGCATAAGGGCAGGCTACTCTCTGCCTTCCATAGCCATCTGCAGCCTGAAGATTACTGGGGAGACACGGAGGCTCAGTTTAACTAACCCCAAACACTTGACAGCTTCTTTCTGTGGGTGGCAGGGTTTAACATTTACAACCACAAAAGAAGAAGAGTTATTTTAGTATGGACACATAATTGGCAATGGCATAATTCATTAAGATAATTTAAAATGACACATTTATGTCATATTCTGATGTGTTTAAACTGTATATTCATATCTTTTTCTGTAACATGGAGTATTAGAGACTTCAGAGGATTTTAGAGTATGTTTATTTACTAAAGTTTCGTCATCTGTCCTGATGTAGTAAACCTTGCCCATCTATTCCCATCATGATGCAAAAAAGGTATAATATATTTTATTCACATCTAAGCGGGAGACATGAACAAAATCCTCATCAATTCAGCTATCATTTATTTCTTAATTGTGACAGTTTGAATCATTTTCAGAGCCACAGTTCTGGACTGAGGCCTGACCAACAGGGTTACTGGTGCTGTCAGGTTGTCGGCCAGGCTGCTGCTCTCCCCAAATTTGGGAAACATTGCAGCTGGGGCCAAGGAGATGTGTTAATACATAATTATGAAAGTTTTTTCTTTTTACCTCACGCTGTTATTCCTGGCCCCCGGTATCTGCTGCATGGCCATGTATTTTTCACCACGTTCTTTGAGTGGCAAAACACTGGACTGCTTTCATTTGTTTAACTTTTTGCTCTTTTTATGAAGTGAACCACTGTCCCATCAGTGGCACATGATTGATGTCTCACACATTTACCCAAATAATCATTTTGTAGCACTCTTCTGAATCAAATATATTGTGAAAATGTCTTTTGATTGCAATGCACTGGCTGGTGTTTATGTGTTTCTTTGAAATTATAAGTTGAGTCCTAAATGAAATGGTGTTTTGTGCTTTGAGTTTCACTTTATTCTTCAAAGTAACAGATATCCAACGCTCATATAATTTAGCTCTCACCAAGTACTGAGTGTCTGTTTTAGTGTGTCTGAGCACTTCCTTAAGCTATCCAGCTGCTTGTTTATGCATCCATGTTTATGCATAAGTGAAGGAGTGTTTTCGTCGGCATGCATTTGTGTGTATGCTTATGTCTGTGTTTTATGTGTGGTGTGAGGGGTGTGATGATGGACATGGCAAACGCTAATGAAGTTGAGTTCTCATAAGTATCACTAGCACACTCTCAGCCTGATAACTAGACATAATAACATTTATGAATCTGATGACATAGAGACTATAATCTGATTATAGTCGATTTCACCAAAACAGTGATAAAATGTTCTGAAATAATACTCAGTATTTGTTATGTTATGAAATATTTTATCTTCTACTATTTGTTTGTTATGAAAAAATCACAATGATAAATGTGATCCTGGCAGTATTAGTCAAGAATGTGATTCCAGTCATGTGAGTCAATGTAAGTCAAAACATTTTGCAGTACAAAGAGTACTACTACATTAATTCTTTGGCGCATTTTTGTCCATGTTGTCGTGTAAGATTTTACATGGAAATTGTAAAAATAAATGTCAAAGTGAAAACAGCTGTCAGTCATTAAAGGGAGACACGTCGATTAAATTTTAAAAAAATAATTTTTTATTTAGATGGAATTACTGTAAAATCACAAAGCTAAA